TCACGTGACCATCAAACATGAGGAAATGCTCAGGGTCACTATCCATTGTTGATGTTGTTGTTAAGTGCCATCAAGTCGATTCCGACCCATAGCAACCCTGTATTGGGTTTTCAAGGAATAGCTAGTGAATTTGAACCACGAACCTTGCAGTTCAAATGACTTTGAAGGCTGATTTAATAACCTACAACACCACACCAGGACTCCCACTATCCATTAGAGACATGGCTCTTGTTTCTTGGGAGTATATACCAAGTAGAGAGATTACTGGTCCATTATAGACATGTAAATCAAAATAATAATGAGATTTGCTCTCACATCAGATTGAATAGCAAAGTTAACAAACAAATAAAATAAAAACAGAAAATGCAGGCAAAGATGTGGAAAGACTGGGGCATTCCTACATCACTTGTGTGACCATAAATGATTCAACCACAGTGGAAAACAGTACAGCAATTCCTCACAATGATGGAAACAGTAATGCATTATGGGCCAAAAATCCCTCTACTTGATATATACACCCACAAGAAACAAGAACCATGACACAAGTGGATATGTGCACACTCATGTCTGTCACAGCATTATTCACAATAGGCAAAAGATGAAGACAGCCTAAATGTCCAGCAACACAAGAAAGGATAAACAAACTTTGCTACGTACACACAATGGAATACTACTAACCACCAAAAAATAACGATGAAACTGTGAAATACCTCATAACATGGATGAACCTGGAAGACATTATGCTGACTCAAATTAGTCAATGATTAAAGGACAAAGAAGAAGGTATACACAAAATCACTGTACAAAAAAGATGGCAAGTGTTCAACCATTTCAAGAAGTAGCTTATGATCAAGAACCAATAGTGCTGAACGAAGAAGTCCAAGCTGCCTGGATGTATTAGTAAATAAAAAATACTCCACTAATTGGAGACTACTATAAATTGAGATTTTGAAATTTGATAAACGGTTTTAGAAACAAGAGAGCACAATCATGTTGCCAAAACCTACCTAGAGCTTGTGTAGACAAAGGTGTAATTTATTTATTTTTTGTTGTTTCTTCCGTGTTTTTCTAACCAATGTAAACCAGAGGGATTCTCATGCTCTCCAAGTGATGGAAGCCACTTGTAGGGTGTAGGCCAGGGAGATTGTAGACTAAGGGGGGAACGATATACAATAACCCCATTTGAGTAGGCTTTGATCCAAATCTGCAAAGTCGACCCTCACCTGTTCTAGACATGTTCCCACTAGGAGAGGGGGCCGAATGTATACATGGGGTAGAGAAGGGAAAAAAAAAAAAAAAAAAGTGCCATATGATCAACAACACATGGTACCAAATGAAGAAGTCCAAGGCATTGGTGAAAAATGAGGAACCATTAACTGACAATACACTGAAATATTTCAACAAACCAATGCAACACTGGGAACTACACCAATTAAATGTGGAAAACAGCTGCCTGGACAAGCGATTCAGAGATCCATATGTGCTCCCATTCCAAAGTGAGGTGATCCAGCAGAATGTGGTAATCTCCTAAAAACATCATTAATTTCACATGCAAGAAAAATTTTGCTCAAGAATGGCTTCAATAGCACATCAACAGGAAACTGCCAGAAATTCAAACCAGATTCACAAGAGGATATGATATCAGGGATATTATTACTGATGTCAAATGGATCAGGATGAAAACAGACAATAACAGAAAGATATTTACCTGAGCTGTATTGATTATACAAAGGATTTTGAATGTGTGAATGATGACAAGCTATGGATAACATTGCAAAAATGAGTATTGCAGAACACTAAATTGTCCTGATAAGGAACTTGTACATAGACCACGATGCAGTCATTCTAAGAGAACAAGGGATGTTGAAGGGTTCAAAATCAGGAAAGGTGTGTGCCAAGGTTGTATTATTTCGCCATTCTCATTTGATCTGTGTGCAGAACAAAAACTGAATCATATGGAGAAGAAAGTAGTATCAGAATTGAAGGAAGACTCATTAATAACAGTGATATGCATTGTTGAACTTTGCTTGTTGAAAGTGAAAAGGGCTTAAAGGACCTACTATTAAAGATCAAAGATCTCAGCCTTAAGTATGAATTGCACCTTAATGTAAAGATAAAAATATTCTAACAACTGCACCAATGAATGGCATCATTTTAAATGGGAAAAAAAAAATTGAAATTTTCAAAGATTTCATTGTGCTTATATCTCAAACAACATGCATGGAAGCAGCAGTCAAGAAATCAAATGACATTTTACATTAGGCAAATCTGCTACATAAGACCTCTTTGAAGTGTTCAAGGGCAACGTTACTGGAGGCATATTTTCCAGAATCACAGAAACATGCTAGACACCACAGAAAGAGAAACTGACAAACAAGTGGTGTATGCAAATGTTTAGAGAAATTTTATTTGTAGTAGACAATTGCTAAAAACAACAAATATGTCCATAAACAGACAAATTGATAAGTAAAATGTGACATTGCAGTTTTGAGCAACAGAATATTAATCATAGCTACAAAGAGTTGAACAACTGATAAATACAACATGACAGAATCTCAAGAATAACATGCAAAGGGAGAGAAGAGAAGTCAGACACAAATTAATGAATGCTTATATTCATTATTTTTATATGAAATTCTAGATCATGTGAAACTGATATTTGGTGGAAAAAATCAGAAGAGTGATTCCACTGAGAGGTGAGGTAAGGGATTACAGGAAAGCACAGGAGGGAAATTTATGGGATGATTATCATTTATTATATCTTGATAGAGGTTTGAGTTACATCTGTATGCTTTTGTCAAAACCAAGCCAAAGTACACCTGTATTTACGTATTCCTTGTTTGAAAAGTTTACTTCAAAGGTAAAAAAAAAGAAAAATGGATGAATGTTGAACTCTAATAAATTATAGGCATGCTGATATACCTATGAAGTGTAATGATCCTTGAAAAATGCTTTGAAATGCAGAAAACATAAGATGGATAACTGGATGAAAAGATGAATAACAATGCAGTATCAAATTAACAGAATAAAATAGACAATGCGTACAAAGGTGTTCACTGTAAATTCTTACAACTTATATGTGCAATGTGACATTCTATACTTTTTAAACCTTGCAAAATAAACCCTACACACAAGGCTGAACCAATCCTGGTGGTCAAGATTAGCAGTAGATGTAGGTAGACCAGTAACAAGGCATCATGATAGCCAGCAGAAACCCTAAATCAGCATGTGTAAGTGTTAGAAGTGAAAGAAGAAAAGGATGTGATGATGTTCAAGTTAAATAACTGAATTTAGAGATTGTCTAAATACAGAAGCTAAGAAAGAATATCAAGACTTTTTCAATAACTGACTCTTGCAACTAGGTGGTATTGAGGAAACTGAAGGTCTACATGACCTCCCTGAAAGATTTCCAAAAATCTACAACAGCTTCTTGACCAGTGTAATCAGTTGTAGAGGGTAAGGTCTGGACTATAGAATAAATCTGGGATTTAAGTGTGGTTCTGTAGAACAAGCACTAAACTATAAAACTCAATATTGGCACGTCAAGCCCACCAGTGCATGATTCTCAGAAAACCTATACCAGTTCTCCATGAGTTGGAACCAACTTAAAGACAACAAAAACAGTGCTAGCTGGGCAGTTTTATAAATGGGTCCAGGGTTAGGTTTGGACTATAGCTATAAATTTACACATCACTGTCAAAGATTGATAATAAATGCAGCCAGGGAACAGATAAAATTAGTGAGAGAAAAAAAGATAGACTTAGTCAATGAAGACTATCAACATTCAGAAGCTAGAAACAATATGATCCATGATCATAGTAGAAAGGAAACTGAGGAAGAACTGAACCCATACAAACAATGTTTAATAAAATTTGTAAAACTAAAGACAAAAGACAACTCTTACTCTAGACTCATTGAGGGAGAGGGGCTGAGTGTTGGTGGCTGGGGGCAGGCTTGCAGGGTATGCCCTTTGATTGTTTGAAGGGTTATATATTCCTGAGTGCTTCAGCATACACCCAAAAATAAAAAATAAAACACTACAGGGAATGGAAGCAAGTGCTGTGGATTGATGTGCATGGAGGGGGTTGTAATCATTGGAATGAAACAAAAAACAATAGGATGAATGTAAATCTTATGTTCTCCCATGTAAACTATCTCTCATTCACAATAAAAGCTTTAAGAAAAATAAGAAATACAGTTAAAAAAAAAAAAAAAAAGACAACAATTTCCTGCTATGGTACAGATTCCAGGTAAAGAATGAGGATACCTTTTGTTGTTGTTGTTGTTGTTAAGTGCCGTCGAGTCGGTTCCGACCCATAGCGACCCTGTACAGGGTTTCCGAGGGTGTAAATCTTTACGGGAGTAGAAAGCCTCATCTTTCTCCCGCGGAGCGGCTGGTAGTTTCGAACCGCTGACCTTAAGATTCGCAGCCCGATTCGTAACCACTACGCTACCAGAGCTAAAAAATAGAACTGTGCCTCTATTCTGCTGGTCTTGCTAGTGAAGACTGGGTGTCACATGTCTTTGTCTCTCATACATGCCAGGTTCAATAACTTTCTCTTATGATGAGGAGCAACCACTCCTTAGTCTCCAAGAGTAACACCAAAAAAACTAGGTCTAGGTGAGGTCTTTGCAACAGCGTTTGAAGAATTCCCCACATTGGAGTTCACAAAGTAATGTGTTCAGAGGGCGTCATGGCCAAACATTAACTCCACCCTAAACGGGGTGACAGGACACCCTCTACATAAAGCCTTGATGTTGGGTGACAAACCCCCTCACTCACAGTAGCCAGGGTCAGGACAACAGAATCAGGAATGAGTAAAGGTCCAGGTAAATCACTGAGCAGATGACAGAGGGGAAGCTTGTTTTTTGCAAATCCATCACATTAGCCATTAGTTACCTTCTTGTCCATTGCCTCTTGCTTCTCATTATCAATGTCATATTTGCAAATTAACTAAATAGACACTAGCATAATTCATGTGTCCACACTCTTTGCTCACCGGGAGGCAGGGGCCAGTTTCTGGAGGGCAGCTTTCACATCCTTGTTTCTCAACGTGTAGATGAGTGGGTTCACAGCAGGGCTGACTGCTGTGTACATCACAGTCACCACCTTGCCATTCTCCATTGAGGAACCAGAGCCAGGAAGGAAGTAGGTGTAAATGACAGTGGAGTAGTACAAGGTGACAACCAGGAGGTGGGAGGAGCAGGTAGAGAAGGCTCGGCGCTTGCCAGAAGCTGAGCGGATGCGGAGGATGCTGGCCACGATGTAACCGTAGGAGCCCAGTGTGAGAAAGAAGTTGATCACACCAAAGTAGACATCAGCAATGATAATCATGACATTGTTTAGTTTTGTGGAGCTACAAGACAGCAGCAGCAGTGAGGGGGCTTCACACATGAAGTGGGGGATGTGGTTGGGGCCACAGAAGGTCAGCTTTGCAATGAGGCCTGTGTGCACTGATGAGTTGATGGCACTGAATGTCCACACAGCTACAGCTAACATTACACACACTGGCCAACTCATGATGGTGCCATACCGCAGTGGCTGGCAGATGGCCACATAGCGATCAAATGCCATGGCTGTGAGCAACAACAGCTCTGCACCAAGGGACCAGATCAGGAAGAAGATTTGGGTCAGGCAGCCCTGATAGGAGATGGTGTCCACCTGGACCAGCAAGCTCTCCAGAAGCTTGGGAAGAACAGTGGTTGTGCAGATGATGTCCAAAATGGCCAGGTTGACAAGGAAGAAGTACATGGGGGTGTGCAGACCTGGGCTCAGTGTGATGAGTGTGATGATGAGGCTGTTTCCTGCAAGGGCTATCAGGTAGAGGAGGAGGAAAAGGACCGAGAGCAGGGCCCGAACCTGTGGGTCATCTGAGAAGTCTTGCAGAATGAACTCCACTACAACCGTTTGGTTGCCTACTGACATCTGGATGAATCTCTTGGGTCCCTGGTTACAAAGGGGCATAAAACGATGAGTATCATGGTCTTTGATCAAGGCCCACATCACAACCCACCAGGACTTGTTGGCATCTTCACCAAGAAAGCACACAACTAAGGCATCAATGTGTCTCTATATCCTGGGGTAGTCAGGGAATTACCGCTCACCCTGGACTCTTATAGGCAGCCCCACATGGTCCTGATGATACCCCTTCCACACAGCTTTCTCCATTTATAAGTAGAATGTCTGTCCCCAGCATCACACCGATAGTTACACAGTGAGGAAAGAATGAGCCTGTATTAACTTACACTTAGAACATAGCCTTCCTGATCTGGAGACCTACAAGTCTAGTCTGTGTCTTAATGCCCAGGACTCAACCCTGGTCAATGTAAGTTCCAAGCTGGGTGTCTTGTTTCTACATCCCAGGAGAAAAAAAAAAAAAAAACCTTGCTTTCAGCTGGGGCACCTATGACTTCACGCTCTTGGACCAATACAGTTACAGGCAAGGAGGGAGTATCAGAGTCAGCTGCAGACTCACCTGTGCAGATGGTTCCAGCACAGGCATTACTGTCCAGTCAGCCTCGCACACTTTAGGCTACTACCTAAGAATTTCCAGACTCATAAAGGAATGTCCATAGCAACTGACCTGTATCATTAACCCAAACCTAGTTCAAAATCTATCCCATTCCTCCTGGGTTAGTAGAAATCCCATTCCTTCAGGGAATGCAAGGATGTGTAAGGCTGCAGGCAGAGGGAAAGGGCACAAGCTGAGCCACAGCACAGTTCCATGAGCTCCCCATCAACAAAGAAACCCAATGTACACTCTCAGAGAGAAGCCAGATTCACCAATATCAAGTGTTCTTCTGCTGAGGTCATTACAAACACCAGTGAGGTAAGAAGAGCCAATGTCTAGATGCATTTGGAGTAGACTGAGGGAAACCCAGAGGCATAGTCCCCACCATTTGCACCTTTTGAACACTTACCTCCTTCACATGTAATGTAGACAGAAGATTACACACACAAAATAATATATGCTCACTACTGTGTTCACGGAGCTTAAGAATGGGAAAGTACTGGCAATTCTGATCATTTGAACTGCTGGATGGTGACTCCCCAAGTTCCTTCTGTGTGCCTGCATAAGACCAGGAACAGCACAGCACTCTCAGGTCAGCAGAACTAGAGAACCTTGAGGATCAAGCTGAGGTTCACCCAAGGACTCTGTCTAAGAGGGTCCCTGCCATACCCCATTCAGTGGCCACATGCCATGTGACCCCCAAGCATCCACCAACATCCTATACATGTAGCAGTGATGCCCACACACTCTTCACTGGTCTCAACTCCCTAAAACTGAAATCCATCTACATGCAGATCCACATTCATGTCCACCAGAGACTTGGCCATTCCAACCATCTCACCTCCTGCACAAGATTCACAGAAGACTTGGTGGCAGGTCACTGCTTAGTCAGTGACTTCTATCCCACATTAGAGACTACAACATACTTTGGAGGTTAGGCACCCGGTTTGGTTCCCATCTTACCAGAAGATGAACTGCACAGATTAGTCAGCACAACCAGCAGATGTGTGGCAGGTCCCGACACTTTAGTTTCAAACTGAAATAGCAAAAGACATGAACAAAGTACATTTAGGGGATTTGTTTCCACAATAAAATAGGTCAGAACAAAAACAAAAAGCGTCTTCAAACACATCAAGAGCAAATTTAGGACAGAATCCAAAAGACGAGGGATAGAGAGATAGACAGATGGCTACTGCCACTAATACTGCTGTTCACTACTAATACCAGGAATACATCCAATAATTTTTGTCTGAACATGATGCCACATATACATGGAAAATACATAACATCTTACTCAGGAGGGAAAGTGAGATGTGACCTGTGTCTAAAGGCCCATACTTGCTGCTCGGTTGCTCCTGTGTTTTGTTATGGGCCTTTAAACAGTGGCCATGGCCTCCAGCAGACACCTCATCTGGAGAGCTGCCCATGAGAGTAATTACTCCACCTGGACGTAGTAGGCCCCACGGGGCACAGTCCGAGGCTGACTCAGTTCAATGGTCAGAGTTCTCAATGTGACTGGGGACTGCCAACCAATCTGACAGGTCTTCAGGGGATATCCTTGCCATGACAATTTAGATAAGAGCCTGTGTGAAACCAACCCTTGTGGAAAGATGGATTTCTGCTTAAACACTTTGGTTTTTAAAGCCCTGAGGGCACAGTGAGTTAAGCACTGGGCACTAACTATCAAGGTCAGAAGTTCAAACACAGAAGCTGCTTACAGGGAGGAAGATGGGGTATTCTGAGTCTGTAAAGCCATATAAAGCCTCTGAAACCATACAGAGAAGTTCCGTTTTTAAAGTCATTGTAAGTTCGACTCTTTCCAACAGCAATGGGTTTAGTAGGATTTTGGATTTCCACATAAGAACTCTTAGATTGGTAGAAAAGTTGAGCAGATGGTACACATACCTCCCAAACCAAGTTCCCCTGCTTTAAAGATCTTACAGTACAATGGTACATTTGTCACAATAAATGGACCGATATTGATACATGATTACTAACTGAAGTCCACACTTCATCCACTTTCCCCTAATGTCCATTACCCAACCACACAGAACCCCACCAGTTGCCAAGTTACATGTCATGTCTCCTGAGGCTCTTCTTGACTCTGATCCTGTTGGGATTAAGGCCTCTCTTTGTCACCAAAATTGAGCAAAGTAAACTTTGTTCCAGGAGAGACATGTCTCATAACTATAGTAAAAGGACAGAAATACCCTTGGGAAGGATTATTTTCAAGAAGTTGCAGAAGATGCCCATCTCTCCACTGTAGTAAGCACCAAGTTTGGGGCAAGCTCTGGCCACAGTCCCTGGTTCTTTGGAACAGGAGCCTTGGAAGGCATCTGCAGCTGTGTTTGGGAGCACACAGAAAAGACCCTGATTGAATCACAAGGTCACAGAAGGGGAGAGCCAAGGCAGATGCTGGTGGAAAGTCACATGGAAGACAGAGCCAGAGGAAGTGAGGATTCTGCCAGATGCATTACCATGCCAGGATTACTACTGGCAAACAAGGTTGTATAATCTGCATATCTCAGGTTGTTAATGAACATTCAGCCAATCATTTACCAAGACAAGATGGTACCCCACAAAGCCACGTATTTGCTGAATTATAGAAAAATAAAGGCAGCCCTGTCCTCATGTCCCTCCCCAGTCTGTCTCCCAGGTTCAGGCACAGCTAAGTTCACACAGCAGAAGGGAATCTCTGAGAACATAGCTCTCTGCACATCCCAGTGTCTGACTCCACCTCTGAAATCCTAACTTGAAAGACCCGATGCACTGAACACAAGCTCCGCTACTCTGAGAGTCCACACAAACAGTGCACACCTGGCAGCATGTATGGGATGACTTCATTCATAAACTGTATCTGGTCCAGCTCCATCCACTAAGGAAGTTCTGTCCTGGACTCGATGGAGCCTTCTCTTCTTCTGTCCCTGGATCCTTTCAAGCTCTCCCCAAATTCTAATCCTACCTATAAATATTATTCAGAGTCAAAAAAATATATATTGAACCAATTTGAAGCTTTTGTTTCACCTCAATTGGAGTTGTCAAGGATTTTATTTTCCTTGGATCCTCAATCAGCACTCATGGAAACATAAGTCAAGAGATCAAAGGATTCTCAGTTCCTGATTGGAAAACCTAAGTGTTTAAGATTCAAACCCAGAAGACGAAACCTTTCTGTGTACAAAGTTGCTGAGACACTGTAAAAATGACCATAATATTCTGAGAGACATAAGTTTATTACAGTGAAAGAAATAAAAGAGAGATGGTTTACCAACAAGGAAACTTGCTAACAGGACATGACAGCTGTCTCCAGTGGTGGCTTGATGGACATTGAAGTTTTTCAACAGGAGAGGACTTGAGGGTCACTTTTTATAAACAAGTCTTATTTTCCAGGCAGAGGGAGTGGGTTGTATGGGGACAGTCTTATCTCCAATCAAGGTAAAAATAGAAAACAGCCTGGCTCTAGCTATCTGCTACTCCTTAATAGACACGTGACCAAACTATGGGAACACAGGTATGATAGGTCAGGGATATAGAATGGACAAGAGGGGAAAGGAGAGAAAAGTTAAAAGATCACTTCTCCTGGGTTGCCATGAGTGTGGCCATTTAGGAGCATTCGGCTTCTGTTCCTACACTCCACCCCATTGTCCCTAATGGCCCTGACAATCTTAACACCAATTGTCCACACAATCCTTCAGACCTGGGCTTTAGAGAATTGTAACCAAAGGCCCCAGCAACAATATATACTACAACAAAGCACCAATCCTGGGCACAAGATCTTCATGATATATAGCTGGGTTAGACTCCATGAAGCCCAGGGGTGATTTTCCATGATAGGCCAATGACAGAGGTAGGGAGCTCTCCACATACCCATCAACCCGATTTATTCCTTCCATTAGCAAACACTGTGACCCAGGTGGCAAAGACATTATTGTAGACACTAATGACTAAAGGACAAAGAGGTGACAGGTAACAACATAAATGCAAGATTTTTTGGTGGCAGAGGTTGGAAACAAAATGACACTTTTACACCTACATCTAAGCTTATCCCCGTAGGCCACCCCAAAAAAAAAAAAAACATTGGGAGCCACTTTGCCATTTCCAGGGAAGCAGGACAATGGAGCTTTCCTGGGCTAAGTCCTGAGCAATGGAAAGAGAAGAATATGAGAGTCTCCAGGCATCAGAAATGGTCAGTCACTTTGGGGGATTTTTGGAGTCTCTAACTCAGTACATGATTGACAATAGACTGAGGCTGTTGATATTTGTTGATGCATCACAGAAGTTCTGGTAGGCATCAGGTTCAACGTTGTAACAAGCGTGTGTCATGCCGTACGGTTTGTTACATAATACCATTCATTCATTCTACCAACCAAACCACAGTCAGGTTGTATGGGAAATGAAAGTGCCAAAAAATGCTCAA